CTCCCAGAATTCCCCAGCCAGCACGGCTGGCTGGGGAATTCTGAGAGTTGAAGTCCACGCATCTTAAAGTGGCCAAAGTTGAACGACACTGAGTATCAATTTGATTTACACATTTTAAAGCTGGATTAACCCTTTTTCTTAGCTGGCACAATAAATTGAGCCATAAACTAACAGGCCAGGTCCAACACTTCCACCCCACCCGCCCAAAATTAATGCTAACTCATGCTTGTAGGGGATGATGGACAGGCTTGGAGGAGGAGTGGCTGTTGCTGCTTAGGGAAAGCTGCTTCTTGCCAGCGTTTGAGCAACTTGTACTTTGGAGCAAGTCTGTGAGCTGTTGATCTTCTCTAATCTCAGGAGCCCAGAATTCAGGCTCCTCCCATCTTGGACCACCGGCATCTGCAGATAAAGGCTTGCCCCTGGTTGATGCAAAGGGTTTGGGTTAGTGGTGACTTTGCTCCTGTCAGTGTGCAAGCAGAAAGTGTGTGAGAGAAAGGGAACATGATGTCCAGCTTCAAGTGGCCCTGGACAGTAAGTATCTGGGTCATGGATGGTGGACTTCTGTTGGAGGTTTCTTCTGCCTTCACCAAAGCTTTATTTGAGGCCATTGTGGTTTGGTGGGCTTTGCCTTTGCCTTAACAGGTCTGAATTGGTGCAGTTAGCAAACCATGGTTTATAGAAAAATGTTTTGGGTGAAGCTAGCAAATTGCTGTCTTATCACAGTATTTTAACTCAGCCTTATTCAATCTTTTCCTCTTTTTTGTGGTAAGAAAAAGACAGAAGATAGGAAAAACACAGGAAAAGTACAAATACATAGTAAAAGTTGGTGAATGAGGGCATTACACAGAAAAGGCATTATTTTGCTTCTGGGTAGAAGTAGACAATGGCAGTTCAATACTGCAAATTCTTGGACCAGGTTTACATCTTGAATTAAACCAGTCTGAACTATGGTTTGTTGAATAATTCCCAAAGGCTCCATTTAGGCTCCCTATTCATTCTAAGCCAGAGATTACAAAACACGGTGCTTGTGCTCGGATTCCCAAATGTTAAGCCAAAACTAAAATAACTTTATTATGGTGCGAGTTGTATGAACTAGAAAGAGGTGGGCTTGGCTCTTACCTCACACTAAGTCATTATTTGAATCATGGCTTGCTGACTAAGCCACACTTGGTTGGACCCACATTACTAAACCATAATTCATGGTTTACAAACTACAGTTGCCAACTTTACAGGCTGCACTCAGGTTAAACTAAACCAACCTCTGTGTTTTGCTTCCATTAAGCTGAATAAACTGAGTTTATTAAACTAGGTTGGAATTAAAATGGCAGAAGGAGTAAATTCCAGAATGAATGGTATCCAACAATTTCAGTTTGTTTTGGCTTCTCTTCCAGGGTCCCTGATTGGTGAATAGTGTAAAAATGTGGGAGGCAGGAGTTGTCTGATAGAGCCTGTCCAGAGATACTTTGGAGAACAAGATGAAAAACCCAAATTGTTGCACCCTCTTCCCAGAGAGCTGGGTTCCATTTTCAGGGGACAAATAAGGGAAGTTTCTGAAAATAGCAGGGATACTGATGAGAAAATGAGATGGCTGTTGGGGCCGTTTTGTAATTGGGGAGCCAAGGACCTTAAGGGGCTTCTTCTCTTCATGTTCAGTCACTAAGTCGCTTCCAACTCTTCATTAACCCAATGGATGTCATTTAATCAAGATTCCCTGCCAATAATGGCTTTTTTGAGCTCTTATAAGCTCCTGCTAGTGTCATCATGAATAGTCTCTAGCCACCTTGTCATCTTTTGCTGTCTTTTTTGATTGCTAGTGACTCTTCTAAGCATGAGGATCTTCTCCAGTGACTCTTGCCTTTGAATTACGTGCCCAAAAGATTTACAGTTGAAATATACCAGGAGTAGGTGTATCCAATCCCAAGACACCCATTTATTCAAAAGCACTTTGTTGAGGTCACTCCTCGCCCCAACACGCTCCCTCTTCCCACCCCAGCTTGTCTTTGTCTTTCTTCCTGAGCTGGGGGGGCACACCTTCAAATAAAACCTTGGGATGAAGTCACCTACTGTTTTCATTTGTAAGAATGCCGGGAGGTCAGCTTGGGTCCTGGGGCACCTTTGGAAAATAAAGATGGTGCTGAGGTTTGGCTGCTGCTGGTGTATGGGTTTGCAACAGTTCAGCTTCCTATGCAAATTATCTTTGAAAGATGCTTTGACTTTTAAAATTAATAAGAATCGGGTGGGAGCAATGCCACACTGCCAGTAGCATGTTCTGCAGAAGAAGAGGCTGTCGCAAGGCTGTTTGTTTGCATGTTTGTTTATTTAATTTGTATGTTGTCCATGTCCAAGGCTCTGGGTGGATAACAATTAGAAACATTCTGTTGTTGGAGATATTTAAACAGTTCCTATCCATTAAGCTGAAGACTATATTAGATGACCATCGAGACACGTTGTAATTATGCTTCCTCAATCTGGCCAGACTGTGGAGTGACTGGCAGGGATGTCGATGGGTGAATGGGTGGTGGTGGTGTGGATAACAAAAGTCAACATGACACATGTAAGAAAGAGGTGGAGTTTTCTTGATCCCCCCCATAGATGGTAACAGGTCTTGCAGTCATGCTAGTAGAAGATGAGAGATGGAGCTACACTGGTTGAAAAGCCATGCTTTGAAATGTAATCAGCTCTTTGCTGCACACTTGACATAGAAGGAATAATTCTGAATGAAAAAAATGAGGTCGAACACCTAGTTTATTATAATGCTTTGTGTTTTTGGCAAGTGAGAACAAGCTTGGTTTTGACACCGTGGAAGTGGCAGATCTTTCTGGTTGTGCAGTTGATTCCTGCGAGACTGAGCTGTAATGTTGCAGGGCTGTTTTTTTGCTTTTGCTTTTCCAATTACCATTGTGGGTGTCTTACGTCTGAAAAATAAAGGTTGAGTCAAAGGAATCTTCCGTTAAGGGGATTGCATTTTATTTATTTATCCAATTCATATGACTGCCCATCTCGTGCAAGGTAACTCTGGGCGGTGTACAATAAAACCAACTATTAAAACCAATTATAAAAACCAACTAAAACAATTAAATAATGAACATAAGTAAAAACAAGATGCTGTTTCTGGGAGTCGAAGACCATGTATCTTAAAGTTGCCAAGGTTGAGAAACACTGGTTCAGATAATCAACCACTGAAGTCTTGTGAAGGTCCAGGGCTATTTCTATGAATGGGGGTAAGTTCATGGTGGGGTTCTACTTGTCCTGATGGAGTCCTGTTGAGGAGTGTTGCAGACGTGGGGTTGAGTATCTGTGGAGCATTGCTTGAGATGTCTTTGGCACGAAGCAGGCAAACCCATACGGCTGCCTAGCTCTGATGGTCCTTATCGGTGGCAGACAGCTGTCAACTTTTCTGAGAGGGTAGAGAGGCCCCAGCAAGGACACAGCTTATGCTGGGTAGGTCTTTAGAAGAATGCAACGCAACTGTATGTTACATTCTTCTAAAGACATACCCAGGTATGCTACTTCCAGTCGAGGGAGGAAAGAGCTTGCTCCAAAGGGATCACTCTGGATGATCATTTGAAGCTGTGAGAGGATGTGGTAGGCAAACTCATAAAATGGCATGTTTTCTCAGTCACTTCTTGGGGCAAAATACTCTGGATTGAGGTCCCCTCTCCTGCTAATGAATTCTACTAAGCCCCTTTGACAAGTGGGTCGGGCTTCACAGCTAACCGCTTGGGTTTTGGGGATGTTTCTCAGGGCAGAGGGGTGCAACCTGAATATCTAGGGCCCGCAAAGCCCTGGGTAGAGCCTTCTGAGAACTAAAAAAAACTTGCTAACAAATAGTGATTTGCAATGTGGAAGTTATTAAATATGGGAATAGAATAACAATAATTTTCATTCAATGGAAATGAAACTAAGTTAAATTTTTGTCCTGGCCCCAGACGCTACCTTTTTTGGAGTATGGCTCTTAGCAAGCTACTTGGAAGCTAAACAAGATCCTTGGCTTAGAAGAGCTTGCACAGCCGTGCAAGAGCATTGGTTGACAATACACTGACTGCATATGCCCTCCAAATCCAAGATTGCAGTGCTGAATAATTGAATTGTAATGGCAATTTCCCCCCAATTTTCAGTGGAAAAACTCTGAGTTTTCTAACAGTAAATGTCCTACAGGCTTAAATACTCTAAAATCCCCTCAAATTTCTGAAATGTGACAATTCCCCAGCCCCTAACTGCACTAAAAATCGGTGCTTTGATCACTTGGTTGTGGCCACAAATTTGATTTTTTTGATCCCCCCTTCCCTCTGAACAACCCAGTAATTTGCCTACCAGTTCTCATTCTGTTTGAAAAAGAAATACTTCCAAATTTTATTCCAAAGAAGCAGCACAGTTTGGTGAACTTTTTATGGGGGCGACGGGAGATTCCTGCGTTTATTTAGTGACGAGATGGCCAAAAGTCGTGCTTTCTGTCAGGATTTTCTTTCTCATGGGAAAGGATTCATCCCGTTATCTTTACAACAATAACAAATA